TTGCCTGAATACCTATTATTACCTTCAGAGCATGTGGGCCCCTTTACAGGGGTAAGGGTTTCTGTTTTACTGAATGAGGTATCCTCCTGGATGATGAGTCCAGGAAGGAAGGACACAGCTTTGTCTGTTGACAAGAGAGTGTTGGTGTTTCTCCTGTGAGCAACATCTGTCCCCTGAAGAGAAGCTGAGTGCATCAGAAGTTACTTTTTCTATGATGGGAACTATCAGTTTCTCAGAAGAGGCTAGGTGCAGGACATGGGTCAAACAGGGCTCAGCAGGCTTTGGTTGGTCATCTAGACATGATTTCAGGGTCAGCTTTCAAGTTGGTTTGTCATGTGATAGGCTGACTGTTTCCTGTTTTCTTCTGAGTAAATAGGTAGAGGACATTTCTCAACTTCTCTTGCAGTTGGCCATGTGATCAAGTACTAGGTGATGGATCATGGTTAGAAGTAGTACGCCTCACTTCCAGGTCTGGGCCCTGAAAACCTCCATGTGTTTTCCTCCATGGCCTTTTTCCTTCCATGGTAACCATGGGAATTGTGATGGATTAATGGGAGTGTGGATCCATGAATCATCCTGTGGAGAAGCATTGGTCAGTCATAGAAACCCACTTGGGACTTTTCATGAGTGAGAAAAAAGCTGAAGGGGCTTATTACAGCAACTAGTGCTGCCCTCATCAATACAAACATCCAATGCCAGTTCTTCAAGATGGTGGCCTTTTTTCATCTTAGGCACATTGTCATCATTTTTATTAACTTTACTGAGCACTCAGTGGGTATCAGGCCTTTACCTGCATGCTTGTATTTAATTCTATTCTTACTAGAGGACCAGCACATGAAATTCATGTGCGGGTATGGACCCCAGGCTTGGCCTGCAATCAGGGCCATCTTCCCCAGCTACCCGCAGCCGGCCCCACCCCCTGCCGCCACCCAGCCCCTGGTGCCCCGTTCACCATCAGGCAATCAGAGCCTGCCTACCGGGGAAAGGGACCAAGAGGCGCTCAGTGTGCCTCATAGTGACTGGTTAAGTGGTCGTTTTGCTGTTACCCTTTTATTATATAGGATATGCATGGGTCAATTGCATATTACCCTTTTATTATATAGGATATGCATGCTTTTATTCAACTCTTTGAGGTCTATTGTATCATCATTTCCACTTGACTGATGAGGAAATAGACTCAGAGGGGCTATATCATGTGTCCAGGGACACATAGGCTGTAAGGGGCAGAACCATGATTTAAACCAGGTCAGTCTGACTTTGGAATTTGAGTTACTAACCTCAGTGCTCAAAAGCCACTCTGTCACAGCCACTATCCCCACATTGGAGCCTGGCCATAGCTGCCCATATCTCCTTGCCTGCTGAAGAGCAGGATGGACCTGCACATTCATGGGTTTATCTGGAGACGGCAAGATGTGTGGGTTGATATTCCCACACATTACTGGATGTCATGAGGCTGCATGGCTTAGTCAGAATTCTCATAGCTGTGGCTGTAGCTTGGGGATCTGTAGTTAGAATTGCAGAAAAACATGGGGAGGGATGAGCAACAGAGTCTTGCAGGATAGCCTCCCTTGGGGAAGGGATAAAGACTGAGATCTGCTTTATCAGAGAGAACTAGACTCAGATGAGACATGAAGATCTTCATTGAGCAGAGTGGCACTTGAGGGTCCATGAATTTTTAGATCTTTCCTGGGACCCAGAGAACCAGAGATGAATTAACTACAGTGCCTGGCATCAAGTAGCTTGCAATCCAGTCAAGTTGGGGAGGGAGGCACACAGATATGTGCCAGGATATGTGCTATGGGAACACAAAGCAGATAGCTATTCCAGTCCATGGTCAGGTCTGAGAAGAGGGTTTGTGTGAGCACAGTTCAGATTGGCAGGAGGACAGGCAGAAGAAACAGCATGTATAAAGGCATTCTGGGCACAGCATCACAGGTCAGGAAGTCGGGCAGCCTGGGGCATCTGAGCCCAGGCAGGGTGGCAGGAAGCAGTGCTGCAGAAACAGTTGAAGGATGCTCTTTGTGGCTGGTTTAGGCGATGAGGAACTAGCAAAGTGGGCAAAAATCCTCTAGTGTCTATGTTACCAGACTGGTGCTGGGGAAGTAGGTAAGTAGTAGAGCTGAACCAAGGTAGGGGTGGGGTGAAGAGAAGGGAAGAGGCTTGAAAAGTTACGGAGGTGGGCTCAGCAGAGTTTGGCTAATGATTGGGTGCTGGGAGGTGAGCAGAGAAGTGGGTCCAGGTTGACTCTCTTTTGGTAGCTTGATGCATGATGTTGCCAATGATGGAGCTGAGAAATCCAGAAGAGTTTAAGGCACCTACAAGACTTCTGAGTGGGCCCTTGCCACAGGCAATTAGAACAGCTCTGGGTCAACAGCCAGATATGCACTGGGCCGAAGGCCTGGAGTCTTGGAGGCCTGTGAGTTTCCAGCATGTGGATGATGTAATGACTCTTTTGAAAAATCCTCACCTGAGGATATTCTTTCCATAGAGAGTAAAGTGGAGGGAAGAGGAGGAGAGAGAGAGAGAAACATCGATGTGCAAGAGACACATTGACTGGTTTCCTCCTGCATGAGCCCCCACCAGGGCCTGGGATCAAGCCCACAACCATAGTACGTGCCCTTTGACTGGGAATTGAACCTGAAACCCTTTGGTCTGGGGGCCAATGCTCTAACAACTGAGCCATACTGTCCAGGGCAATGTAACCACTCTTAGCTAGATTCAGAGGGAAGCACCAGGAGCATCACTTTTAAGGAATAAGTGTGTTTAGAACCCACCAGGTTTCTGAGTGCTAATGGCTCCTCTGGGGCAAGACAGGGACCACCTGGAGACAAGAGCTGAAGTCTGTGCTCCAATAAGAATGGGGCTGAGTTGCATTAATCAGCACTGACCACAGGCTTTTCCTGAAAGAAGGGAAACATTCAATCTGAAAAGTGCTTAGTCCAAAAGTATAGAGTTGATCTGCAAAGTGGTCTGTGAAACACATTTGTAGTAAAGCAAAAGACTGCTAGGAAACTCAGTGACAACTTTCCCTGCAAACATACGTGTGCACATATGTATGTATACATATACCATTTCCTGCTCTGAGAGCACAGGCACCTGTTTGCAGGGAATCTTTTAAAATGGAGCTCATTACAGCAAGAAATAGAGCCAAGTAAATGTTTTAGAATAACTCAGACCCTTATAGGACTCTTTAGCACTCAGTGATCAATTAAGATTTAGCGCCCTTTGATAGGGTGAAATATAGGGTTCTCTTCCCAGGGTCTTCAGCCCCCTCCAGCATCTTCCAGAATCAGGGCTTGAGCCCCTTAATTCTGTTGGGCCTATTAAGCACAGCTGCTTCTAGGAATGCTGCTCTCTGCTGTTTTGGCCATCTCTGTCAGGCAGCCAATTTGAGATGATCTTGAGGCTTGGTCACACTGATGTTAGGTACACATCATGGCATGTCCCATATATAGCTTTGGCCATCAGAGTAATAAGGACTTTTAACTCTGTGACCTCCACAATCATAGAGTCATGGACTGTTGGAGTTTGAGGGACCCATGGAGCCTAACCTCAGTTTACCAGTAAATGGGAGACCTGCCCATTTGGTTCAATGGTCAGAGCATACTAGTAATTGTCCTCTAGGAAAAGCTTGCCTGGTGCCCCAAAATGGGTAGAGGCCTCATCACAGCCTCTCTCCTAGCACCCTGCACTGGCCTTTCACCACTACCATTTAAACAACTGTAGGGTTTTTTGTCTCTCTTCCCCACCTGCTCTGTGAGAACAGGGACCGCACTGTGTTGTGCACTGCTATTTCCATTCCCCAGCATAGTTCCTGCAGAGAATGCATGGTGACTTAAATGCTGTTAGCATTTCAGACTTTACTGTGTGGTGCTACACTTGGAGCACAGTCATGGGCAGACTCAAGAACTTGGAGTCTGATGGGAGAGATGGGGGTATGTGCCTATCATGCATGAAGCACATGGGAGCCTAGAGCGTGGAACATCTGGATTCGAGTACTCAGGGAAGGGTTGGCAGAGGGCAGAAAGCAAGTGTGAAGGATGGAGGAGGTCCTAGCCAAAGCACAACCACTGCAGAGGAAGGCATTCGGGGGGACTACACACAACCACCAGAAGCATAAAATAAAGCTGGATGGGTGTGCCTAGGCCTAGATTTTAGGGCTGCTTGACAGGCCAAAGGTCCCGATTTTATCTTGCGATTTGGCAGCCAGGGAACACTTTAAGACCAGGGCTATGATATATTCAGATTTGTGTGTTTAATGATATCGGGAGGTGGATTACAGGAAAGGGCCAGTGGTGGGAGACCTTTTCAGGAGACATTTGTGATCATTCAGTTAAGATAGTGATGACCTGGATCTAGTCATAGTTGGGGTGGAGAGAAGAGGACCCCACAGAGGTGTTGAAGAGGGGACATCCTCTGGACTGAGTGGCATTTTGGATGGGAATGGGAGGAGCAGGGAAGCAAAAACACTTCTCCAAGGGCAGGCCTGTTTAGCAGACCGGAAGTGTCCAGGGGCCTCTTATTCCAATGTGGCCACCCACTGAGCTCCTGTGAGGTGTTCCTGCCTCTCACAGATGAAGGATTGTAAGGTACAGATGCTGCTTTCATCAAAGAACATAGGTATCTGGCTTTAAAGCTTCATTCTAGGACAGGTGACATCGTTTTTCTTTTATGAAGACTTCAGCAAATTTATTAGTTCCAGCCTTTAGTATATGAGAATGCATTAGTAAGTGTATAAAACATAGCCAAGAATTCCCATTTTCTTTTACATCATGTGGCGTAAAAGCAAAACACTTAAGAACAGTCACTGTCAAAGTAACCTTTAAATGGAAAGGGCTGATAAAATTGATGTCATGTTATAAAATGTAAAAAGCTAAGCCAGTCTCTCTTTAGGGGCCACAGCACCTCAGCATAGAGTATTATTAGGGCTTGGAGGGCTGCTGCGGGCAGCACCTATTTCTCCCAGGGGCCAGAGTAAAGGGGAAAGGGAAATGGCGCTGTCCCGATGATCCTGATGGTGTGCCTCTTGCCTCCCCAGTGTGTTTACTGATCCAGCTCCAGGGCCATCGCCATGTCAAGCAGGGGCGGGAAGAAGAAGTCCACCAAAACCTCCAGGTCTGCCAAGGCAGGAGTCATCTTCCCTGTGGGGCGGATGCTGCGGTACATCAAGAAAGGCCACCCCAAGTACAGGATTGGAGTGGGGGCGCCCGTGTACATGGCTGCTGTCCTGGAGTACCTGACAGGTGAGTACCCAATTCAACTGTGACACCATTGGCAGTAAAGGTGTAAGAATAGTACAATGAACATTTTTCTCTAGACCCACCAGTTGTTAACATTTTGTCCTCCCAACTGTGCACGTGTGTGTATGCACGCATATATACACATTTTTAAAAAATATATATTTTTATTGATTTCAGAGAAGAAGGGAGAGGGAGAAAGAGCTAGAAACATCAATGATGAGAGAGAATCATCGATCAGCCACCTCCTGCATGCCACCTATTGGGGATTGAGCCTGAAACTGGGCATGTGCCCTGACCAGGAATCGAACTGTGACCTCCTGGTTCTTAGGTCGATGCTCAACCACTGAGCCATGCCAGCTGGGCTATACATTTATTTTTGACTGTTATATATTATATGGTTTATTTTGAAATTCCCTTAATTGTCCTAATATCCTTTATAAATTTATTTGGCTTTCTTTCCTGATCCAGGATCCATTTCAGGATCATACATTGTATTTGGCTGTCTGGTTTCTTTAGTCTCATATAATCTTAAACAGTTCCTCAGCTTTTAAAAAAACTTTTTCATGACACTGACCTTCTTGAAGAATCCAGGCCAGTGGTTTTGCAGAATGTCCTTCAATCCAGTTGGTTTCATGCTTGGATTCAGATCATATGTTTTAGTAGGACAATTGGGTAAAAGATGTTGAGTCCTTCTCTGGTGTCACGTCAGGAGGCACCCGATGTGGCTTTGTCCTGTCATTGGTGGTGTTCAGTTTGGTCATTTGATTAAGATGGTGTCTGCAGATTTCAGCCCATCCTGGATCACAATCTTTTACCCAGTAGCTTTAGCATTTCCTGTTGATCTTACCTGAATCTGGTATTTCCATAGTGGTTAAAAAATGGTGATTTTTCCATTTCTGTTATTTCTTCTGCGTTTATTATTTGACATTCATCTGTAAACAAGAGCTTCCCTTTTATCCTTCCCTTCTTTTTATTTTTTGTACTATCAATGTTGGTTTATGGATTTTTTAATTTAGTGGCTTATGCACTGTTATGTCATTACTCATTATGATGCTTAAATTTCCACTCTCAAGCTGGTTCCTGTGTCCATTTGCCATGTCTCCATCAGTTTCTATAGATTTCTTTGCTTTCTGACATCATGAGTACTCTGGTCTCACCCTGGACTTTGTCTGCCCCAGTATTGGAATCAGCCATCTCTCTTTGGACCTTTTCATAGATAAAATCTTATTAGTCTTATTGGTGGCTCCATAGCAATTGTGGGAGGCTAGCTAGAAGGGAAACCACCCCCACTTTTTAGTGATAAGAAAACCAGCCTCAAAACATGAAAGGACTTGCCAGGGGTGGCATATAATCAGTAAGTACTTGAGGAGGGTCCCATATCCTGCTGTCCTATTGTCATGCTATTACTTATTGTTCCATACACTATCAGCGTAGGTGGTAGGAAGAGGCACCTTGATTCTTAGCAAGAGAAGGTACCTCTTCCAAAGTTTACAGTCAGGCAGCAGAAGAGCTGCATCGCTTCTTCCTCTCCCAGGTCTCAATAACACCAAGGGTTTCCCTATGGAAAGCACCGTCATTATGGGTGTGTTAATAGTTGTGAGGTTTTGCACATATTCTGGGACTTTTGACTCTCTGCATGTCGGAGACTCTTACAGGTGACATGCCTGGTAGCATGAGCTAGGCATGATTCTCCTCACTATCGAGATAAAGAAACAGAGGCCCAGAATTTATGTGACACATGCTGGCAGCCATCCAGGGAGACCACAAAAGTCACTAGATAGGAATCAGAGGACATTTTCTAGTTTTGGCTTGGCGCTTTACATGCTGTGTGACCTAGAACAGTGGTTGGCAAACCGCGGCTCACGAGCCACATGCGGCTCTTTGGCCCCTTGAGTGTGGCTCTTCCACAAAATACCACGTCCAGATTGAAACTTCGTGGCCCATGCGCAGAAGTCAGTTTTTGGCCTGGGCGAGTCTATTTTGAAGAAGTGGCGTTAGAAGAAGTGGGGGGTGTCGGTCAGGCGACGCCGCACAGGCGGGCCATGGGATACGCAGCGCGGGGGAGGCACGAGTGATTCATGCACGAGTTGAGTGAGCCAGTCAGCAGTCTCATTGTGCAGTGGTTAGTGCTGGTCGAGTCCGCAAATCGCGCGCGGGTGACAAAAGTACCTACTCGAAGCATAAAGTTACCTGTATTTTTCCAACCAGCTGCAAATTCCACAGGTACTTTTGTCATCAATTTAAGAAATGTAATTATTTTGTGATGGTGGCTTTATTATTATAAAATGAAACTTTTTTTTAGGTATGTTGAGATGGTTTGGACATATAGAGAGGATAAACGAAAGGAGATAGATGAAACAACTATACAAGACGAGTGTGGATGGGAGAGTTGGAAGGGGTCGACCTCAGCGAATGTACCTCAATCATATTGAGGACGTTTTTAGCAAAGGCCAGCTTAGGAGTACCCTAATTAAGTTAATAACAATGTACCTACCTATATAGTTTAAGTTTAAAAAATTTGGCTCTCAAAAGAAATTTCAGTCGTTGTACTATTGATATTTGGCTCTGTTGACTAATGAGTTTGCGGACCACTGACCTAGAGTGAGTCACTTAACTTCCTGGACCTGTTTCCTTACAACTCATATGGACTCAAGAGTCCTGCTCCACCTCCACCAACTCCAGGCTGCTGTGAGAGCCAAAGGGCCTTTGACCATAAAGGGAAAGCTGACATGATGTGCAAACCAGACAGCCTATGTTTTCTGGTTTCCAAATTCCATGGTGCCCCTATCACTGGAGTTTTCATAGACACTGTCATTAGGTCAAGTACAAAATCAGTTTCATTTCTTCCATCAAGCTTTCTCTTTTTAGTTTTCAGGGCGTGGGATGGGGGATACCACTGCTACATCATCTCTGAGAAAACTAGTGTCCACACAGCAAACCTGTACATTTTCCTTGTCTATGCCTGGCTGGCTCTGAAACTGAGCACAGAGGTGATGAGGTCACAGTCAGCGGATCCGTTCTCATGGCAGCCAGAGCCCTTGATCCTGTTTGCACCCACACCCATCACACCTGTCCCCAGCTACCATAGGTATATGGTAGTGGTCACAAAGGGGAGTGGGAATAGCCAGGGCAACCTGTTACTAGAGCTGGAAAAGTAGCTTATGGCAAATCCTTACTCTCATATTAATGAAGTTAACCCCTGTTGTACATATGTAAGTTTTTGCAAGACCTTCCACAAAGCTCTAGTTAGCTGAATCTGAACGATTTTCTCTGTCTGCACACCGTGGTGAGTCACTGGCATGACCATTGCCTAACGCCAGTTCCCCAACATGGTGCCGGGCCTGCATGACTGGCACCTTGAGAGACATCCTGAGCCAGCAGTTCTGTGTCCGGTCACTGCTGTGGTCACTTGTATCCTATGTCCTGACGATGGGATAGGAGCTGAGTTTTGGGGCCATGCCCAGTAAAAACACTGCTCCATTCTGCTCCTTAGAACAGTGCTGCACACCCACACTCACCGTTCTCAGAAGGTGGCCTACCCTGAGCCCCTTTGGCTAGAACATGAGAGCATGTGGATATTTGGAAGTCTTGGGCATCTGCCCACTCAGAACTTCGGTTTTGGTCCTTAAGTAAAAAGGATAGGTGACCAAGCTCTCTGTTCTGCTATTTGCTTTTGTTTCGTTGAAGACCCTTTCCCATTCATTCCACATATTTATTGAGCACTTATTGTGTGCCAGGCACCATGCTAGACTCTGTATGAGAGCTTAGGAATGATGGGGGCAGAAATGGTCTCTGCTTCCTGGAGTTCACAGTTTAGTTGGGAGAAAGAACCAACCAACCCAGATGGTTACCGACTTTGATAAGTGCAATGAAGGGCAACCAGCCCTGTGAGAGCTGGGAGAGGGGCTCTGCCATCTGCTCATCTGTGCTGGATACACCTACTGGGTGCCAGACAGCCTCTTCTGAGAGCTTGGGGAAGATATCAAAAGAGGGGGAAGCCAGGGTACCAGCCCCTAAGTAGCTCAGGACCTAGTCAAGATCATGGCCAGATACAAGGCATATGAGGGAAGTACCTGCATTTAGCAGGTCCTCACCGAGAGTTGTGATGTATCTGGCACTGGAATATACTAGTAAGCCTGAACAAGACCTATCCCCACCCCAAAGAGGTGTCTGTCCAGGGATAGGTACAGGTAAGAGAAACCTTGGTGATGATGCAGGACTAGCTGTGCCATGAGAAGGAGTCAAGAAACGTTTCCTGGAGATGTTAACCAGATTAATCAGTTAACCAGATTGCCCTGCTTGTCTAGTTTTCACCCAAAGGGTACTATGGAGAGATTGTTTTCCTGTCTGCGAGGCCCAGACCCTTACAGCTGGCAGACAATTGCAGGAATGGTGACGGGGGTATGCAACACAAGGCTCTTTTGGAATGGCTGGGCCAAGCCTCCTCCCTTCAGAAGGCCCCCGTGGAGAGATGAGTTGGGGTCTGCATGCTCAGGAGTTTCTAATAGGACTGCTGAACTGCAGGGCCCACCTAGGCCTCGGCAGCTCTGGAGCAGGTGGCCAGCCCTGGGGAACACTTGGGGTGCCATGATGTTCAGTGGAAATCAGGTAGAGGCAGTGGAGCTCAGCAGTTCAGAGTGTGGACCTTGGTGTCAGAGCTGCCATTTCTTAATTGTGGCTTTAGGCAAATCACATCTCTGAGCTGTGGTTTTATTGTCTGTCAACTGAGGATAACAATAACTCATAGGGTTATTATGAGGCTGAAATGAGGGGGTGCATGTGAGTAGCTTTGCCTTGCCGGCACAGTGTACATGCCCACATGCTATTACATTAGGGTTAAATCAAAGAAGGGAAGGAGTCCCCAGTCATCCTGCTCTGGCTGCTGAGGTGACTAGGGGTTGCCCACTTCCATTAAGGATGGTGATGGAAGTTGTCACTGTCCACTCATGTGTGTTGTCCTTTCAGTTGATCAGAACCCACTGGGCCTCACCAGCACCTACAGA